CATAATCTGAATTTTCTAGAAGGCCTCCACACGGCTATAAATATAACCAACGCCACGCGCCAAGAGGAGTATCTATTATTAGTTTGCTATAGTCAGTGTGCTATAAAACTTCGGAAGCTATAACCGTGAATGTTATAACGCTTACCAATCGGAAAACTTCAGATATTTGACTCCGAATCTTTACAAAGTTCGAACATTACAAGTCGTTTAACTTCGGTGGATTTTCATTGGACGTTAGTATTTTTACGAAAACATTACCTTACGTCAATGGTGAAACTCGACTTGTAATCGCCATGTGATCACCGAGAACTACAGGGCTAGCTAGCTCCCTACTATGTGAATTGTACCTATATCAACTCGTAATCAACTCGCTCATCGTGAACCCCTCGAAAGAACTAGAAAGAACACTTTATATTGCTTGTAAGTTTGTAAAACTTTTGTTTATAAATCATTATTTATAATAACTGTTGTTGTAAATTGTACTGTTGTGTGTATATTAAAATGTATTTGTGTTAAAAAACTGTATGTATCAATCTTGTTCGCAAATATCATAAACTGACTATATATCGGCTTTTACTTAACTACTAAATACAAAGTATAATTTAACTACTAAATTTAAAGTATCATTTAACTCAATTTCAGACCATTTGCAATTCTAATACATAACACTCGACCATATTTACACAGCTGTCAATTCATATACAAATATCCTGTCCCTTTCACCACTAATAATCGGTATGATGCAGTTCCACTACATAGAAGAAAGAATGACGAACCTTTAAATGTAAGTATATCGTTACATACATTTCTTTGCTTATAAATCTAATTTCTGTGTTTCTTTGACACAGTAATGATTATTTTCAGTCATATTCATTATAATAAATAATGTTGATGTGATTTACTAATTATATACTATTTTATATTTTAGTCTATTGTAAAGAAAAGAAATGCTGTTGACATTAATGAAATGGTGAAAAAGATCAAGTCCTGCAGCGAGAAAGAACCAGTAAAACATAAAAACGACAGTTAGGTTCCTCTACTGTTATCCAACGTGAAGAAGCATCTGATTCATCTCATGTCTATCCTATTGGGAATGATAGTTATATTACTCTATCAACTTACGATAATAATTTTAATATTCATATTCGACAGTTCAAGGACTTTGGAAAAGTAAAACAATATCCAACCAAGGATGGTATCACTTTTCTTCGCCAGAATGGGAGGAATTTAAACAGTGGATCTCAAACATTAGTACTGCTGTACATGATATCTGATAAAATTCTGTTACGTCTCCGTTCGTTAGTTAATTTTCCGTAATTTCGTTCCAACGAAACTTTAGTGACACAAGTCTTTTCTTAAATAA